TTGCATGATTTCATAGCAGCTTCAAAAATTTGAAAGAAGTTAATGATTTTAGGAATGGAAATTTTACAGAGAGGTAGACCTAACTTCTTCGGTATGGTGCTCAAACTTGAAATGGTCACAAAATCTCATTGATTGAGCTAATCAATCAGTGGCACTCATGTTCTTCTTGTGATGACTTCCATACATTTCAGATTTCAAAGTGCTTTGCTGAACATTAAAAATAGATAGAGCCATCATCCTAAATCCTAACCCTAACCCTATTTTCAATCATGTTTTTTGAACTGTCGTTAAGAAAAAGATAGAAATACAGAGCTTTGGCAAAGGAACACATTAATGTGTTGAAGTGCTAAGTGAGATCAAATATGACTGCAATGTTTGGGCTCTTAATATCCATGACCATAATTTTTTGGAAAGTTACAAAACTACTATGGTTTCTTCTAGGAAATTCTCTGTGAATTTTTGGTTCCCTTATGGTCTGTCTTCTTTTTAGAGGAAAAAGAATAACACCTACAGAATCCACAAATGAGTCATAGTGGGTGACTCATTTTCCCCCTTTATTATCCTCAAATAAATGAAAGTCACCCAGATTAAGACTGAGAATATTGTATTTAAGATGCTACCTTGAACGTTTCCTCGCTACTGATTCCTCTCTCATTCTTCAAGTTGCGCAGAACATTCAAATTAACATTAATTATTAATAAATTAACATTACAGGTAATAGAGAAGTTTAAAACCATCTCTCCAGGTATTATCTCCATTCTTCAACCACTGTAGTAGACATTTAGACCATTTACACAGAGCAGACAAAGATTAGGATGAGGAGAGAATTACTCTCACAAATAAATCCTTAATTCAATTTACAACACTGACATGTAAATGATATTGTGGAAACCTTTTGCGAAAAGTGTATTTTCTAAAACTAGCTAATAACACCACTTTTTTTTTGGAGTAGTACCATAAAATTATACATCAATGGAAAGATTATTTAATCAAGAATGTAATGCAATAACTTTTATGAAGGATTTGCTATTAGAATAGCAGTTTTCAGTATAAAGAAGAAAAGTGAAACATGTAGAAAAACAAGATATACAAAAATTATCACCATAGAAAAACCAAGATATACAAAAATACCATGTCAGTTAATACTTAGTTGGGTCACCTTTAGCATGAACTACGGCCTTACAACACCTTCCCATGGAGTGAACCAAATCTTTTAGTTCTGCAGCTGTTATAATGTGAAACCAAGATTGAATGATTGTTTCTATTAACTGGGTTTTATTGCTGTGTCACTTCTGACTAACCAGTTTCTTTAGTCGACTCCACAGATTTTCAATAGTCTGGGCTATTCCCAGGCCATTCCAGCAGTGGAGTATGATTATCTTGAAACTCAAAAAAAAAAAAAAAAGTGGTGTTATTAGCCTTCAAACCTCAAAAATACACTTTTTCCAAAAGGTTTCCACAATTTTGGCCACTACTGTAGGTAATAATAATTTGTAGATCCATCCCAGATTAAAGAATTCCTAATGGCTTCCCTTCAAAGTGTCCCCGAATGGAAATCGTAAATGAATAATTATGATGCTGGAAAGAAATATTCATAACTTTAAATGCTTAGTCTATAAGGCAGAAATATGGCCCCGAATGACAATGGAGTCTGCCTCCATTCTTAGAAAAGAAAAATAAAATCACTACTGAACAACTAAACAAACCTGCATCAAATCTGCACCACTCTCCCCAACACACAGCAACAGATGTAGAATATAGTTGGAAAATGCATGCAACATAGTTAAGAAAATCAAATGCCTTACACAAAGTCACCAAAGAGTGCAGACGAAGGACGTTTTTTATAGGAGGTAGGATCTGAAAACCGGTAAGTGTGAGAAATAATGAAAGCCATTATGAGATCTCCTGACTTATAATACTTATGATGAATAGGAAGAGGCTCACTAATATTACATCTAAAGCTAGAAACTTTGCACACTGTCAGTGGAAGTAGCACTAACACCAACAACACCAGGGCTAACATCTTCCACACAACTCTTCTGACTAGTCTTTATATAGCACTGTCCAACCTGAGTGGTTGCTAATTGTGAGAACTGAAGTCATGACGGTTGTCTAGAAATTATCTGTCATTCAACTGAGGAAGAATGGTAGATTTCATCTCTAGCTTTCAATGATGAGTAAACGCATTTTAATATTGGCTTGTTATTTTTTCCAATAAGATCTAATAATCCCCCCTAAGGAACTGGGAAGTCAACATAGTTAATTTCAGAATTGCCTGGGGGAAATATTTTCATTGTTTTTAATTTAATTTAATTTAATTTCCAATTTATATACCGCCCTTCTCCCTGAGGACTCAGGGCAGTGTCCAGCCAAGATAAAAAAACATAGAATACAAATATTAAAAAACATTTAAAAATATATATAAATTTTGGCCCAAAAGTTAAGAAATCACAGACTGATTAAAAGAATTTAAAAATTTCTTCTTAAGCCAACCCGGCTTGCTGGAAAAGATGGGTTTTAAGGGAACGACGGAAGGCATTGAGGTCATGGATTCTCCTTATCTCTGGGGGCAACTGATTCCAGAGGGTGGGAGCCCCCACCGAGAAGGCCCTCCCCCTGGGGGTCACCAGCCTACATTGTTTGGCTGATGGCACCCTGAGGAGGCCCTCTCTGTGGGAGCGCACGGGTCGATGGGAGGTCGTCGGTAGCAGCAGGTGGTCTCGCAGATAGCTAGGCCCTATGCCATGGAGCGCTTTAAAGGTGATAACCATACCTTGAAGCGCACCCGGAAGACCACCGGGAGTCAGTGCAGCTCGCGCAGGAGCAGTGTTACATGGGATTATTAATAATTATTAATCAGCGGCAGTGTTTCTCTGAGACTTTGAAAACAGGTGAACATGTTCCTGGGATTTGAATTCAACATTTGTGCTCCTTTAGTAGGACGGGGTGGGGGGGGGGATGTACCTAGTTTTTATACCAAAGGAGATGAGAAACAAGCTTTTACAAAAAAAGAACATTAAACACTTTCTAAACCAGTTGTCAAGCCTGGGAGCCATCTTTTACATTGGGCCTTCAGGCTTGCCACATTTTCTACTGTGGGAAAATGGGAGGGGGGATTATATGGAGTATGGGAGATATATAGTCAAAATAACATTGCTTTCTCAGAGAGTCAAGGACGCTTTGCCCTGGCACCTGGAGTCGGGTGACTGGGAGGTATCTCCAGTTTGGATGGTGCCTGATTGGGTCATGTGATGGACATGTGGGTGCTGGGCAGGGACTTGAACTTTCACTTGGGTGGGGAAAACCTGGAAACTTTCAGATTCGGGTTTTCCCAGATGTTCCAATATGACATCTCTAATAAAATGGAACTTCGAGGAATCTCCAGCCTCGGAGTCTTCTTTCATTGGGGGTGTTACTTGGAACCCTGACATCAGTATTTGCATGATCAGGAGGACACTACATTTCAAGTACCAATTTAATAAACAGAACCACATTTGAAGAGACCATGAATAGAGTTCCATACAAAAGTTCAGTTGTTCTCCAAATTGATTATATGCAGCTTTTGAATTCTGCAGATATTGTCCATGCTTCATGCTTTGGATGACCTCACAAGGAGTTCTCAGTTGTAAAATAAAGAGGAACATATGCATGTGAAGGGCATCTACATTTATTTGTCTGTATAGATGGCTGTGTGTGACTGTGTTGTTGTGTTTCAATTGGGTAGGATACAGTGGTGGCCAAAATTGTGGAAACCTTTTGGGAAAAGTATATTTTCTAAAGCTAACAACATCAATTTTTGGGGGGGAGTAGTACTATAAAATTATATATCAATGAAAAGATAATTTAATCAAGAATGTAATGCAATAACTTTTATGAAGGATTTGCTATTAGAATAGCAGTTACAGTATAAAGAGGAAAAGTGAAACACGTAGAAAAAATGAGATATACAAAAATTATCACGTCAGTTAATACTTAGTTGGGTAACCTTTAGCATGAATTATGGCCTTACAACATCTTCCCACGGAGTAAACCAACTCTTTTAGTTCTGCAGCTGTTATAATGTGAAACCAAGCTTGAATGGTTGCTTCTATTAACTGGGTTTTATTGCTGGGTCGCTTCTGACTAACACGTTTCTTTAGTCAGCTCCATAGGTTTTTAATTGGGTTAAGGTCTGGGCTATTCCCAGGCCATACCAGCAGTGGAATATGATTGTCTTGAAACTCCAAAAAAAAAAAAAAGTGGTGTTATTAGCTATCAAACCTCAAAAATACACTTTTCCCAAAAGGTTTCTACAATTTTGGCCACTACTGTATATGGATATAATGAAAATCAGGATAAATTGTCTCATGGCAGTTCCTGCATAAGTATAAATGCTCTGCTTGCTCAATGAGGGAACCAGCTAATATCATAGTTTGTAATCCAAGCCATCCTAATTATTTATTGTTAAATGGACAAAGGTACATGCTGCTACTCTCTCTTTGTCTTTTGAAATGATGAGCAGCTTCCCAGAAATAGAAAGAGTAATCAAATTTTGCATTTAAAAAAAAGAGGCTAAAGAAGATGAGATTAACAAAATGTGACAATTTTGTTTGCAAATTTCAATAATAATCTAAATTAGAAACTCACAGATTTCAAAAAAAAAAAATTGAAAGTGGTCAACCAAGGGAAAAGGAAAGTAAACCTTATTTCTTCCATTGATTTAAGTGACCTGAAATCAATCTCTCTCCCACACACACACACACACACACACAGAATTTTAATAGAGAAATTTAGAATTTATTTAAAAGTTCTGGATCAGAATTTGAGAATTTGCTCAATAACTGTATAAAATAGCTATCATATTTTAACACCATTTTGCTTGCACAGACTTGGGATGTTTCCCAATATTTAAAGACAGCAGTGCCTCCTAAGAAGAATTTGTATTTAGACTACATGTATAAAAATGCTGACAAGAAAGAACACTAGAGGTGAAGGGTTCAGTTTTTACCTAAAGGTATAAACAGTGTGTGAAATAGCTCACATATATGGGTTAAAATCAGAGAAACCTATCCATCAATGTGAAATCTTCACAAGCACCCTTTTTCCTGCAGTGTTTTTGAGAATAAATTTACAGTATTTCAGGTTCATTGGTCACAGTTTATTTTTTTCTTGTTAGCTGTTCCCTCGTGTTAAGATTTGGTTTCAGCAAAATGATGTAGCATTTGGGGAAAAAGATGCAGCTCAGTATCCCAAAACTGGAGGTCAAAATAGAGAAGATCTCCACAGCCACCATGTACTTCCCTTTGGTACTTAGGTAAGTTGGAACAAAAGACATCCAAACACTGCAAAACAGTAACATGCTGAAGGTAATAAACTTGGCTTCATTAAATGTGTCAGGCAATCTCCTGGCCAGAAAAGCCACTACAAAGCTGACAATGGCCAGGAAACCCATAAAGCCCAAGACACAGTAAAACATGGAAGCTGAACCTTCATTACATTCTTCAATAATTTCTGCTGGCATTGAATGCATATCAACATCTGGAAATGGGGGGGAAACGACCAGCCACACAGTACAAATGATGACTTGAATCAGTGAGGAGGAAAGAATGATGGAGTTGGCCAATACTTGGCCCATCCATTTCTTCATCCTGAACCCTGGCTTGATAGCAGTAAATGCTAGAACCACCACAATGGTTTTGGCCAAGATGCAAGAAACTGCTGTCGAGAAGATCATGCCAAATGCAGTTTGTCGAATGAAGCAAGTCATCTTCTTTGGGTGGCCAATGAAGAGGAGAGCACAGAGGAAGCAGAAGAAGAGTGAAACAAGAAGAGCATAGGTCAGGTTCCGGTTGTTGGCTTTGACAATGGGAGTATCATGGTATTTAACAAAGATTCCCAGTATGAAAGCAGAGAGACAAGTAGCACAAAGAGCAAAACTGGCCAAAGTGCTGCCCAAAGGTTCTCCATAGGACAAGTAGGTTTTCTTCTTTGGAATGCATGAATCCTGGGTAAGGTTTGGATAATGATCATTTGGACATTGACTGCAGACATCCATATCTGAAATACACTATCTGGATTTTTATTTCTATTTCAATGAGCTGCGGTGGCACAGTGGTTAGCATACAGTACTGCAGGCTACTTCTGCCGACTGCCAGCTGCCTGCAATTTGGCAGTTCAAATCTCACCAGGCTCAAGGTTGACTCAGCCTTCCATCCTTCCAAGGTGAATAAAATGAGGACCCAGATTGTTGGAGGCAATATGTTGTCTCTGTAAACCGCTTAGAGAGGGATGTAAAGCACTGTGATGCGGTATATAAATCTAAGTGCTATTACTATTGCTATGAATATTCTACAACGTCTTCTAGTTAAGTACTATATCATTCCAGAATATAGTTTCCATTCTCTAAAAAAAATGTAAATATTTTTTTCACACTGTTAAATAAAACCAAGAAAAAAAATATGATTTAAGAAAGTCACAGTGTATTAGTCTATGGGGATTTATGTGTTTGGATTTTTTTTTAATTATTATTATTATTATTTATTCAATTTATATACCGCCCTTCTCCTAGTGGACTCAGGGCAGTGCACAGCCAAAACTAAAATACATAACAATACAAAATTTAAAATTAATTAAAAGAATTATATACTTTGGCCCGAATTAAAACAATGCGAATTAAAACCCATTAACAGATTAAAACTAAACAATTAATAACCATTAAAAACTAAAAATTTGTTGATCATCTATGTCTTTTCCTCTGTTTCCTGGAAGGATTAAATAAACCAACATTGCCTTGCATGGTTCATGCAATAAGTCTTCAATTCAAGAAGATTTTTCAGATACACTTCATTATAAGATTGAAATACCATAGGCCAGCATTGAAAACACCCATTCACTTAACATCTACCCAGCTCCCTCTATAAAAACCACCTGCAATGCCAGAGGAGATCATCTGGCTAACTGAATAGGATATCCAATTATGAGACCACTGCCTCATAATTATATGCATGGTATGTATATGTTTACTTCTGTCTTGTCATGTTCTTATTGTAGGCTCAATAAACAAATAATCACCACAAACACTTTTTGCATCAACTTCATCAACAGTTTTGAAGAGTAGACTTCCAAATGCTTCTCCAGAAGCAACATACTAAAATATTGTTACGGTCCTCATTATTATGTTCCTTATTTAGTGGTAGTACCATAAAAGTTTAATAGCACTGCTGAATTACCTTGAAGTGATATGCCTGATGAAGCTTGGGATGTGTTTGTGCTGGCTGATTTCTGAGCATCACAATTTATTGTATTATACAGACGTGTGCAGTGCACCCACAGAGACAAACTGAGAAAGAAGGCTACGAGGAATAACAGTGGTCCACCAAGGGAAAAAGAAAGCAAAGCTTATTTTTTCCATTGATTTAAGCGACCTGAAATCAATCAATCACTCTCTCTCTCTCTTTCCCCCCCACTATCTATCTCTGGAATCTTTGTAGAGCAGTGGTTGAAGTGCAGTATTGCAGGCAAACTTTGCCCACAACATGACACTTGATCCTGACTAGTTCAGGGTTGACTCAGGCTACCACCAGAGGTGGGTTTCCCATAATTTAACAACCGGTTCGCCCAGCACAAAAATGTGAGCGTGCACGGTTTGCACACATGTGCACGGCTTTAAAAATGTGGCTGAATAGGATGGTATAGCGCGGGGGCAGGGGCAGGGGCGGACCCGCCCACAGGTCGCCACTACCGGTTCGCCTGAACCGTTCCAAACCGGCTGAACACCACCTCTGCCTACCACCCTTCCAAGGTCAGTAAAATGACAATCCAGATTGCTATGGGAAATATACAAATAATGCTTCTACATTGTAAAACACCCAGAGAGTGCTGTAAAGCACTATGGAGCTGTACATAAGACTAAAATGCTGTTACTATTGCTCTCTCTCTCTCCTTCTCTCCCTCCAACCCTCCCTCCCTCCCTCCCTCCCTCTCTCTCTCTCATAGCACAGCCACCCTTAAGACCTGTAGAATAAGACAATTTTAATAGACTTTGTAAAATACGGTTGGGTATGTAGACAAATTAAGAGCATACTATACAGTGGTGAGTTTCAAATTTTTTTACTACCGGTTCTGTGGGTGTGGCTTGGTGGGCATGGCATGGCTTGGTGGGCATGGTTTGGGCGTGGAAAGGGAAGGATACTGTAAAATCTCCATTCCCTCCTCAATCCAGGGGAAGGATACTGCAAAATCCCCATTCCCTCCCAATCAGCTGGGACTTGGGAGGCAGAGAATAGATGGGGGTGGGGCCAGTCAGAATTTTTACTACCGGTTCTCTGAACTACTCAAAATTTCTGCTACCGGTTCTCCAGAACTGGTCAGAACCTACTGAAACCCACCTCTGATACTATACCATCATCTGATTATTTGATATTTTGTCATCTTAGAAATCTTTACCCAGGATTTCTTACCTTTTTGATCTGCAATTTTCCCTTCTGGACATGGAAAGCAATCATAGCAACAAAATGGCTTCCCTTCCTTCTTTGCCTTACTAGTCCCCATTGGGCATGCATCATTACATAGTGAAAGAGGCTTTGTCTGTGGAAGAATGAAAAGAGAACCAGACATTGGAAAGTACATCTTTTTGAACTGATATATAGTTCACTTAAGAGATGCAGTGGCTCAGTGCTAAGATGCTGAGCCTGTCGATCAGAAGGTGGGCAGTTCAGTGGTTTGAATCCCTAGCACCATGTAACGGAGTGAGCTCCTGTTACTTGTCCCAGCTTCTGCCAACCTAGCATTTCAGAAGCACATGAAAAATGCAAGTAGAAAAAGTAGAGACCACTTTGGTGGGAAAGTAACAGCGTTTCGTGCACCTTTGGCATTTAGTCATGCCATGGCCACCAAGAAGTTTTCAGACAGCACTGGCTCTTTGGCTTAGAAATGGAGATGAGCACTGCTCCTAGAGCTGGAAATGTGTAGCACACATGTGCGGGGGAACCTTTATCTTTACCTTTATAGTTCACTTAGGAGTTGAATGGGATAACCTACTTATTTTGAGGAAATGTTTGATGTCCTTATACTCTTCAGACGGAGTCTTGAATTGCATGGATATTTCAAGAAATCACCAAAGATACACAAATCAGATTAACAAACACCATAATTTTTTTTCCAGAAGTTAGAAAACAGCTGTTTCCCAATATATGTTTCAGGATGGGAATAATTTAGAATAAGTTGCCTCTTGGATGACTGAATATTTTGGCTATTTCAGAAACCAGGATCAGGCTACAATATGAATTGGGTGATTCTTGCAGAGTCTTGGTGAGCACCTTTCTACATTTCAAATTCCCTTTTTTTTTAATTATTATTTTTTTTTGTAGGATGGGCATTTTGAGTATGCATCTTACCTGGTTGAATTGGCTAGGCCATTGAATTTCTTCTGCATGAATGGTGAAGCCTTCCTTGGGGAGAGCCATGGGTTCTATTTTGCCGACTTTAATTCTCTGAAAGGAGTGGTTAGGGAATGTGACCCAATTGATAATATCAAATCCTGTTATTAATGAACCATTTTCATCAAAGGAAACTTTTTCACCAGCAGAATTGTTAAATGAAACACTTCTCAGAAAGTGATGGAACTGAAATCAGGAATGAGGAAAATAAATGAAGGAAAATCAATCAATCAATCTGCTGGAAGGGATTTTGGAGGTCTGTTAGTTCAACCCCCTGCTCAAGCAGGAGACTCTATACCCATGATGGTGAATCTATGGCATGCGTGCCACAGGTGGCATGCAGAGCCATATTGGTGGGCACGTGAGCACATGTGCACGCCAGCCAGCTGGTTTTCGGGCCTTCTGGGCCCACTAGAAGTAGGGAAACAAGCTGTTTCCTGCCTCCGGAGGGCCTGGAAGGGTGGGGAAGGCCTGTTTTTTTTTCCTATCCCCAGGCTCCAGAGCCTCTCTAGAAGCCTGGGGAGGGCGAAAACGGCCTCCCCCCCCAGAGGCCCTCCAGAGGCTGAAAATGGCCCATTTGCCGACTTCTGGTGGGACCAGAAGGCCCATTTTTTGCTCTCCCCAGTGGGACCGGAAGTCAGCAAATGGGCCATTTCCTGCCTCTGGAGGGCCTCGAGGGGGGGGCGTTTTCACCCTCCTAGAGAGGCTCTGGAACCTGGGGAGAGCAAAAAATGGGCCAACTGGGTCCATCCTGCCAAAAGTGGAGGGAGCTCGGGGGGGGGGGGAGTCACCCGTGCATGCGCGGTGTGCAGGGTGCATATAATTATGGGTGTGGGCATGCCCCCACTCCCTCCACTTTTGGCACACAATGCCAAAAAGTTTAGCCATCACTGCCCCATACCATTTCAGACAAGTTTCTTCTTAAAAACCTCCAGAGATGAAGCACCCACAACTTCTGAAGGCAAACTGTTCCACTGGTTAATTGTTCTCACTGTTAGGAAATTTCTCCATAATTCCAGGTTACTTCTCTCCTTGATTATTTTCCATCCATTGTTAGAAACAACGTAAATTGTAAACAATGAAATTGTAAACAGGATAGGAAAAGAAAACCTAGGATAGCAGTTATTCAAACTGGAAATTTATAAATAATCTTTCTGACTCCTAAATGTTTCATTTCGGTTAATAAAAAATACCACTGTGCTAAACAAATTTATTAGAGAACTTGAATTATTTGTTGCTTATTTTGTCTTCTTCTTGTCACATTATTTAAGATAATCACCATGGCCAACATTACTTTTAGTCCATGGCAACTATGTTACATAAAATAAAGTGACAAAAAGAAATAATGAAACAGCTGAAAACTGGAGTAATGTTGGAAGCTTAAATAAATTTATCAGAAGAAAAAACAACATATTGACATCAGTAACAAGAGGAGAATCATATCACTTATGAGCCACAGTGGCACAGTGGTTAGAATGCAGTACTGCAGGCTACTTCTGCTGCCTGCTGGCTGCCTGCAATTTGGCAGTTCAAATCTCACCAGGCTCAAGGTTGACTGAGCCCTTCATCCTTCCGAGGTGGGTAAAATGAGGACCCAGATTGTTGGAGGCAATATTCTGACTCTGTAAACCACTTAGAGAGGGCTGTAAAGCACTGTAAAGCGGTACATAAGTCTAAGTGCTACTGCTGTCACTTAATATATTCTTATTTAGAATATATGTATATTCTTAGTAAGACATAATAATGAAATCCATATTAAAATGAACTTATAAACCATAATTCAGATTTTAGGACAGCCATTGACCTAGACTGTACTTTGCTTAGACCTGTACATAAAATCATTGAGAAGAATTTTATATCTCAGCTTGGTGAACAGTTACAGTACCTGCCACAGAGACAGGTGCAGAAGTTTCCATCCTTCTCTCTTTGTTCTTGATCTGTACACGGATTTGGTTGAATGCATATCGTGCAGAGCATGAGCTATAGCATGAACAGCATTATAAATGCTGTAGCTGTGAGCGGTCAGGCTTGTTTCAAAAACAGATACAGGAAGAGAGACTAATTTCTCTTCCCCGGTGCAGATTGTTCTCCCCTCTTGGTCTACCAGAGAAACGGGGAACACACACTTAAAAGCTTGTTCCCAAAAAGCTTTGATGAAGCCATCTTCTCTTCTACCTTTAGGATTTCTGGTCTGAACGAAGTTCTGGAAGCCAACCAATTCCTTTCTGTGCACTGCAAGTGATAAAGCCCCATGGATGAAATCTAAGTTCCAAACATCTTGAAAGGGAATTGATGTGAAATCCATTTGAGCTGTCAGAATCCAGACCTTTGTTGCCATTGGTGCACTCTCAAATTCCGATAAATAAAGTACCGTTCTCAAAACAAAGAAGGTCTGAATTTCTCCATGGATGATGAATACATTTGCAGTGCTTTTCCTGATACGCAGGAGTGTGTCAAGTGCCTCCTTCATCATTTGATCAACAAAGACAGATAGAGTTAGCTGTGGGAATCTTTGTATGATGTCAAAACAGATGCCATTCTTGGAGAACATGGGAAGCACTTCCTGTACAAATCTCTCTCCATTAACGTCATTCAGGTAAACCACTCCAACCCATCTCCAGATGAAATATAGCAATAACCTGAGAATACCCTCATACTGGAGTGCCACAGTTGGGAACATCTGATGGAAAAAGACTCCTTGGGTTTTTTCCTCCATCAGTAGATCTGAACCATATGTGAGCTAAATCAAAAGGGAACATCAGAAAAGATATTTCCACAAGTATGTGGGTTTGTCTGTATTTGTTGATCATTTATTCTGATACTTATTTTCTTCTTCAAAGTTTACTTTTCATCTGATGTTCTGACCTAGGCTTCCTTAGAAAATATACAGCACAATCTTAGTCACGGCAAACCTCTTTTATTCATATGGCTGTGAATTATTGTCATTTCCAGTCTGAAAGGCTTCTCAAACAGTCTATCAGAGGAGTGTTTACAAACACCCACCTTATCTCTCTCTGGAATGCTGCCAGAAAACTAATTGCCACACGCAGGGCAAGGCCAAACTTAGCACAGAGTCAAACAGAACTTTCCCAAAGTTTTTACCGACCAGATGAACTAATTGCTTCCTGCAAAAGTTCACATCCCGTTCGCTCCTCTTTTATATCTTATGGGGGGGGGGCAATCATCTCCCAGCCAAGTCAACCCTGTTTTTTAAATTGTTCCTGTCTTCTGCCAGCTCTGTGCATGCGCACATGGGAACAGGCTCCCACTGTTCTTCTGCCTCGCTGGTGTCAGACTCCAGAGACTCCAGAGGCAGCAAAGAACTACCAGATGGCCTTGGCCCCCTGGTACCTCCAACTCAGACCCCTAGTCTGAGCCTTTCCCAGACTCCAGGACTGGCCCACGTTCCTCCCCAACCTCCTCACTGTCCAAATCTGCTACCAGCTCTGCTGGCCGCTGGCATGCCACAGCATCTGATTCATTTTCCAAAAGGGAAAAAAAAATCCCTACCATGTTTTTCATTTGCAATATGTGTGGAAAATGATAAAATAAAGGAACTTCATTGCCTGCACCGAGTTGCTTGAATGGGACTAACAGTCATGCAGAACTTCTAGTCTTCATGATACAATTTAGCTCCATAAGGAAAGGAATAGATGGTCCAAATTTCATGCATAATGTCCCTGAACCAAGAGTTCCTTTAAAAAAATCAAATCCTCCGATTTCTTTCTATTTATTTTTCTCAACCCCAGACCACAAAAATGCCTCAAATTTGAGAGGAGAGGTTTGCACTTCTATTGCAATATCTGTTTGTTTTCATACTGCCTACCTGTGGGATCTTGTACATGCAGAGGATGGTTGCCATATTGAATTTGACATCACAGTTAGGTCCCCCAATAACTGCTACCAGGTCATTTTGTGCATCACATCTATAATTTGGGAGAAGTTTGTCTTTTGTGGAGAGAAGTTCCATGGAAGCAAGATAAATAGTCCTTGCCCTGAAATCATTATTGTAGATATGGAAGCCCAGGGTGATGTTAGGTAAGAGATTGGTATGGTCATTTATCTCCTTTAAAGCAAATTCCAAAGCCAGGATGTGTTGGTAGTGCTGTTTTAGGACCCTACGATGAGAGGAATGGACATCTTACAATTTTGAACTGTCAGCAAAAAAGTTGACAGAATTCAGAATGTTTTTAGCAAAGATCTTGTTTGAAGTTAGACTGTGTGGCCTTATCCTGGGATTACACTATGATTTCTCTGAAGAATCCTCCCATTCTAGAATAGTAGAATTGTTTAGGAGATTTAAGATCAGGGGTGAAATCCAGCAGGTTCTGACAGGTTCTGGAGAACTGGTAGCGGAAATTTTGAGTAGTTCGGAGAACCAGAAAATACCACCTCTGGCTGGCCCCAGAGTGGGGTGGGGATGGAGATTTTGCAATATTCTTGTCCCAGGAGTGGGGAGGGAATGGGGATTTTGCAGTATCCTTCCCCTGGAGTGGGTGGGAATGGAGTATCCTTCCCCTGCCATGCCCACCAAGCCACAGCATGCTCACCAAGCCACGGCCACAGAACCGGTAGTAAAAAAAAAAAAAATTGAATTTCATCACTGCACAACTTTTAAAATGTTTTTCTTGATACTCCCAGGAACTTTTTCTCAGAATAGTTTTTGTGTCCTTTCCTTTTTGAAAGTATTTTTTGCATGTTCTTTTTGGATTTCAAGGAACTTTGTCTCAGAGACAATGATCCTGAGGATGACTACACATAGATTTATCCAGGAATGTGAGTGTGTAGACCATAAACTCTTCTGAAATGACTAGCACTGATAATGTTGCCGAGTTAGGGTAATGAAATATCTGCGAGAAATCAAGCAACTCAGAGAGCACCAAGGACTCCTCTTCTGAAATGTCTACCAGGACCTCTTTTATTGCTTTACCTTCAGAAAACAGTTTTGCCTGGCTCCATAGCAGTGTCAGAATTGGGAGACCTATCTGTATGATTTCAGAAGCTGGGAATTTGGCAGACTGGTATCTCAAAAGCTCACGTTCAATAAGAGAAATAATCAACTACATTTCTGCTATGGAGTTTGCTGATAAAAATCTGTCTCACCGGGCTCAAGGTTGACTCAGCCTTCCATCCTTCCAAGGTCAATAAAATGAGGACTCAGATTGTTGGGGGCAATAGGCTGTCTCTGTAAACCACTTAGAGAGGGCTTTAAGCACTGTGAAGTGGTATGTAAGTCTAAGTGCTATTGCTATTGCTATCACCGTTAGCCATGGATTAAGCCAAAGTTAGATATGGAGCCCAACAGGAAATATTCCTTGGATAAGAGTTGAGGCATAAGTTTGAAATCTGAAACCCTGAAACACACCCTGGACAGTTCTCTACACTCTGACAAAGACCCTACAGTTATTGTTGTTTAGAGTTAACTTGGAATACAAGCCATACAGGAAATCCCCGTCAAACACATACAATATAGGCTCAAACATGATTTAACACCAAAAAAGGAGAAGCAAGGAGGCCACCCCAGAGGTTGTGACTCTTTCTCAGTTCTCTCCGGTGAGCTGTGCTCTAAAATGGCTATACATAGATCACTACAGGATTATTTTGAAACCTTAGAATTAGGAAACCACCATTTTCTATTCTCTCTCTCTCTCTCTCTCTCTCTCTCATAACTGTCTGTCTGTCTGTCTGTCTGTCTGTCTGTCTGTCTGTCTGTTCTATCTCTCTCCCTTCTCTTCCCCTACCTACCTACGTACTGACCGACCTACTGACCTACCTACTGACCTACCTACCTACCTACCTACCTACTGACCTACCTATCTACTTTTTTTCTTTTACATGGCTCTGGTGATCCAAGCTGAGTTGCCTGATTAGCAGGCAACTCAGCTGGGATCGTCAGAGCTTGGCTCGTGAGAGCCATTTAAAAGAAAAAAAAGGCTCTGATGATCGCGCAGCTCAGCTGGGCATGGGGGGCGGGGGCAGGGATTTTTGCTACCGGTTCTCCGAACTGCCCGCCCCCATCACTACCTACTCGCCCGAGCCAGTCCGAACCGGGAGCATTTCACCCCTGCCTTAACCCAACAGGTAGATAAAGGTATTTGTATTCCTACTAGTACAAAGCAACACAATTGCCTTTGTGATAACGTTGGGCTTTCAGCTTCCACTATTTTATTAGTTTATAGGTAGGGACAAAAATGTAGACACTGTTCAGGTGTGCTGAGTTTTACATCAAGCACAGCAAACCAACTGTAACTCTTCAGCATGAGACATAATTTTAAAAATGATCACAAAATCTCATTTGTTCAGCAAGTAAGTCAGTGACCCTCACATTCTTTTGAATTGGTCTGTATTCATTCTAAATTTCAAAGTGATTTACTAGATATTGAAAATATGGAGAGTCCACATTCTAACTTGTAGTTTTTTTTAAAAATAAGATTCATTTCTTGGATAGTGCCTAAGAAATGAATAAAAAATGCTGAAATTAGTTTTGTCTACCCTGTAGTGGGAATGGTTCAAATGTCTCTGTGAAAGATGACCATTTGATATAGGTAACTATAATTGCTGATTGGTAATACAGAAGGTTATATAATCTATGGCAGTGGTGGGATTCAGCCAGTTCGCACCACTTCGGGAGAACCGGTTGTTAACTTTCTGAGCAGTTTGGTGAACTGGTTGTTGGAAGAAATCAGTAGGGCAGAGAACCGGTTGTTAAATTATTTGAATCCCACCACTGATCTATGGGATGCTTCAGGAAGATTCTTATTTCTTATTATTGGTTCAGTTATAAGGAAAAAAATAGCAACAACTCAATTTAATTCATACTACCTAGTTAATTCATTCCCTTTTTCAAATAAAAAAGGGGAACATCCAGATTAAGACTAAATTTGTAACAGGGTAAATTTAAAACAGTCTCTCCTTTTATCTTTTAAATTCTTCAGCCTCTGCAGTAAAATATGTTTAGACCAATTACACGGAGCATGCAGAAAGTAAGGTGAGGGCAATTATATTAGAATGTGAATGCATACGTCTTTCTACTCTTGCCGTAATGTTCTCTTAAAAATTCAAGAGTTATCTTACACCCAATAGGATGGATAGCAGGAAATAATTTTCAGATCCATTTTAGAACTAACGTGCCTCCCTTTCAATTGTCCTAGAATGGAAGACAAGTCATTCCACTGGTTGTTCTCACTATATAAAGAGAAATTTCCTGACAGGAAGAATAACAGAATAACAGAGTTGGAAGAGACCTTACAGGAAATTTCTTCTTAGTTCTAGAAGAACTAAGATTCTTGAGAACAATTAATCAGTGGAATGGCTTGCCTTCAGAAGTTGTGGGTGCTCCATCACTGGAGATTTTAAAGAAGAGATTGGACAACTATTTGTCTGAAATAACATAGGGTCTCCTGCTTAAGCAGGTGGTTGGATTAGAAGACTTCCAAGGTCTTCTGTTATTCTGTTAATTTGGAGGCACATGACAGCCAAATGACCATGGTGTTGAAAATAGATACATCTCTCTTTAAATATTTGGGGCATAAGATTGGAACCAGCAGAAATACGTCCCTGAAAGTTGACTGTTTCACAATGGAGTCTGTCTCCATTCTTAGAAAATGAAAATATTCTAGATTATTTTCTACCGAATGACTAAGCAAACCTGCATCAGCAAAGTTCCTTCCCCGCAACACACAGCAACAGAAAAACACACTTAGAATATAATTGGAAAACACATACGGAAAGGTTAAGAAAATAATGGGTCTTACACAAAATCACCAAACACTGCAGAAGAAGGGCGTTTTAGATAAAAAGTAGGACTTGTGAAACGGTAAGTGTGAGAAATGATGCCAGCCATTATGAAATCCCCAGATTTATAATACTTATGATGAATAGGAAGAGGCTCACTAACATTACATCTAAAACTAGGAACTTTGCACACTGTCAATGGAAGTAGCACTAATACAAACACCACCAATGTCCTCATTTTCCATGGAACTCTTCTGGCTAAGAATGAATCAAACAGCAGTGATGTGACTGAGTAAGGTCTCTGTCCATTATTATTCAATTTGATTGGTTGCTTAGTATGCGAACTGAAGCCATGACTGTTTGGTGCAAATTGTCTGCAATCCAACTGATGAAGAATATACATCTCCTACTTTAACTCTGAATGGCTGATAAACAGGCTTTGATATTGATTTGTTTTGTTATTTTCCCAGTAGATTTTAAAGCTCCCCAAGGACATGGAGAAAGAAATAATATTAATGTCATAATTGCTGGAGGGAATGATTATGATTATCATTCATAGATTTCAGCTCAACTTTGGTGCTCCTTTGGTAGGATGAAAAAGTTGCTGACATTTTTAACGGTCTATATAGAAATTTATATCCATGTCTATGTTTTCTCTTCTCTTCTCTTCTCTTCTCTTCTCTTCTCTTCTCTTCTCTTCTCTTCTCTTCTCTTCTCTTCTCTTCTCTTCTCTTCTCTTCTCTTCTCTTCCTTCTCTTCCCTTCCCTTCCCTCCCCTTCTCTCTCCTCTCCTCTCCTCTCCTCTCCTCTCCTCTCCTCTCCTCTCCTCTCCTCTCCTCTTCTCTGTCTGTCTCTTCTCTTCTCTTCTCTTCTCTTCTCTTCCCTTCTCCTCTCCTGTCCTCTCCTCTCTTCTGTCTGTCTCTTCTCTTCTCTTCTCTTCTCTTCTCTTCTCTTCTCTTCTCTTCTCTTCTCTTCTACTCTACTCTACTCTACTCTACTCTACTCTACTCTACTCTACTCTACTCTACTCTACTCTACTCTACTCTACTCTACTCTGTCTGTCTGTCTCTCTCTCTGTGTGTGTGTCTCTCTCTGTCTCTCTGTCTCTGTGTGTGTGTGTGTTGGCATA